AAATGAAATAATCACCTCACATGAGCTGATGTCTGTGACTTGCTGAGCTTAATGGCCTGCAGAAAACAGTGTGTGTTTGTGTGTGTACACTCTGCTCACCCTTTCTCTCCATTCCCACTATGGGCCTAATCCAGAAATATATAACTTCACATTTCAGTTACCGCCCTGCTCCTCTTTGCTGTCCTGGCCTCAGCTCTCTTTGGTCAAGTCTGTTCTTTACCCAACAGTCATATGAATCAACTCTAAAGCACTCATACTTAGCCCCATCTTCTCCCAACTCCTATAGCAGATCTTATCTGACTTACTCACTTTGCTCCTAATCTTGTTCTACCTAGAACTTTACTCAGTCCTTCCCCACTAAATTCTATGCCTCTGCAAGGTGAGCTCCTCGCCCTACACTTCTTTTGTGTCTATCCCACACCAGGTCCCTGCCATCCTAGTCATTTGTATGATCCTCCTCTGTACTTATAAACTTCTAGTATTAGTCTTACACGGGTAATTCTTTAAAGATGCCTTAATGGGAACAAAACTCCTACTCAAGGTAACATCAAACAAAGTATTAATCTACAGCAACCCAGATCTAATAATGATACATCCATTGAGTCATTCATTGATTTACTCAACACATATTTCTCACGCAACACACCTTCAAGGTACTGGGGATACAGCCATGCACAAAACAAAGTCTCTGCTCCCACAGAAATTATATTCTCTAGATTATATGTCAAAGCAAGCTTACTTTGAAGTAGTTTTGGCACTCTTTACTCCCAAGTGTGTGCTGTTCAAGATGGAAAAGTAAGAGCATATACCCCAAATCTAAGGAAATGGGACTATTTTTGAATTATGTCACTTTTACAGAACTGTTAGTCTGTGATATTGTAAAAAAACCAAATTAATGTCACTGCCTACCAACTCAGTTTAGTCTTAATCATTTAATTTGATGATACGTGTCTTAGTCAGTTTGGACTGCTATGATGAATTACCATAGCCTGGGCAGTGTAAACACCAAGCATTTATTTCTTACAGTTCTGGATGTTGGAAGTCCAAGATCAGGCTGCCGCCACAGTCGGGTGGTGGTAAGGACCCACCTCGAGGCTGCAGGCAGCTAACTTCTCATTGTATCCTCACATGGCACAGAGTAAGAGGGCTCTCTAGGGTCTTTTTTTTTTTTTTTTTTTTTTAATAAAAGCATTAATCCCATTCATGAGGGCCCCACCCTCATGACCTAATCCCCTCCCAAAGGCCTCACCTCCTAATACCATCACACTGGAGATTAAGATTGTAACATATGAATTTTGGAGGGACACAAACATTAGTCCATAACAATTGGTAGATGATTACAAGCTAGCCCAAAAGTCGGCTTTAGTATAAGGGAAGACCTAACACTTTAACCTAGAGGTGATCCTGTCCAGTCATTTTTAAAAAGTTGATGGAAATTTGCAGCGCCTCTGTTAGAGACACTGTTACTAACACTGTGGTCATAGTACCCATACAGGTCATTTCACAAACAGGTAGAACCACTGGCAGTTACTACAAGATCCCTGTCATCAGTGAGCAAACCATCTCCATTGTGGCTTGCAGCATGGACAAGATGCTCATTATGAAGTCTAGGTATTTAAAAAAGAATACTTTATTGATTCTTAGAGAGAGAGGAAGGGAGAGAGAGAGAGAGAGAGAAACATTGATGTGAGAGCAAAACATTGATCGGCTGCCTCCTGCACACCCTGTGTCAAGGATCAAGCCCAAAACTTTTTGGCACATGGAACAGTGCTCCCAATGAACTGAGCCACACAGGCCAGGGCAGTATCATATATTTAACATTGATCGACCTGCTCTTACAGCAAAGAGTTAAAATTGAAGCACAAAAAGGACATCCCCAGGAACAGGAGAAGTGTGTGATGCTCCTGCAGGTCCTTATTTTATTCTTACACTTAATGATGAGTTTTTGGTGTGTTTTTTTCAGTTGTTTCTCAGCGCCTCATATTAAAATACAAATATCTATGGGAGGGAAATTTTATGTCATAGTATCTTGGGTTATGGCAGACTATTGATATCAAGGCCCTGCCAGGAGATTTTGAAGATACTCCCAAGAGACTATGTAGATTACAGATTTTCTGCTCTATTATAGGAATGTTCAGGGGCTTGAGGGAAAGGGATTGGGGAGATTACAGGAAAAAATGATGATTTTGTTTTTTAAGGAAGTCATGAAATGAAGATATTTTTAGTCATTTTTGATAGAATATTAGAAATATGGCAGTGATCACTACTCCTGACTGCCAGATTGGAAACTGGCATCAATAGCTGACAGCATCCGTGGTCAGAAAGGAGGTCCCACTGGTGGATCATAGTTTATGAAAAGCAATTTTGTACTTCCATGGTGTGACTGATTTACTATTTGGCTCTACTGAATGCCTTCTGAGTGGTATGAGCAATATTTTTACCTATTCACATTTGTGAAGCAGGTAGCTACATATACATAGATTTGATTTAATATAAAGAGAAAAATAACTAAAGCAAAAAACAAAAAAAAGGCTTAGCCACCCTGCACATACAGAGAGCATGGGAAATAGGGGAAGGAAATCTTTGAAAGTACAACTCACCAACCTAATGAAGCCAGTACAATTTGCATGGAAAGGTGGATCAGTGTAATACTCTTGTACCATTGGGGCATTAATCCTGTTGGCCCATTACTGCACCACAGGGGCCAGGATATTGAATGTCTGAATATATGAAGAAATCTTATAGAAACTCCAGGAACCCGGCATCCAGATAAATGCAAGAGAAAGTGTAGTAAATTGCCTCTAGGGCACCTGATTCCTTGTTGCCTTGCAAGAAGAGTTCAGTGGTGAGCCATTCACTTGTCAAGTTCTTTCCTCCCTCTGGCTTACCATGCTCTTAAGTGCCGTTTTTACATCAACCACATGAGAAAGTGGAGTGTTTTCCATGTTACCTCCTGAGTCATGCTGTTTCTCTAGTCCTGTGGCAGACAGGTTTTTCTGGTTGTTATTCGTGCACTTCCTTCCCTAAAGCTGGTCTCCCCTTCACTTCGGTGGATATGCTTGAGAGGTCACGCCTAATGGGCCTGCATTTAGGAGCATGGGAAAATTCTCCAAGCATTTAAGTTAGACAATTACACATGCATACTGGGAGGTGGACATTTACATGAGAGGAACAAGAAGATTTTCTTCTGCTGCCTTGCCACAGGTAGGGAATCACCTTTTCCTTCTGGGGAAAGGGGTTGGTTCTCAGAGAGTTGTGGCATTGTTGGGAATCTGACACCTGCCAAAGGGACAGAGAACTGGGCAAGAAGACAAAGGGAAATGAAACATTCCTACAGAAATTTGAGACATTGGTTCCTCTCCCTCCACCCAAAAATAGATTTATGAGGCACAGATAGATTCTTTGACTTCGCCAGAGTATGTAAGTTGCAAATCATACTAGCAAAATTAATTCTGTTTAGGAACATCTGGAAATTCCATTATTTGAGACCTCTGCAGTGGTATGTAATGTACTTAAGAAGAAATACACTAGCTGCCTGAGAATCAGTGAGTTTTCCTAACAAAGCACTTTGGTGAGAGTTTGGATTTTTAAGCCCAGGCCCTGGAAACTTGGAAATGTAAAGTTTCCAGAGGAAATAATGATACAGAACACACAGGCCAGAGACACCGTGCCATGAAGCACGGGTTGTCAGTGCCAAAAGGTTCGTGATCACATCTTCCTTTATTCTTACCACAGTTGGTAAAGGGATTTTAATGTCCCTTGTGTTGCTGTTAGTATCCTTCATGAGTGATATTTCTAAACCTTATGACCGGGTGTCACCCTGGAGTTTTTGGATGCATACACGTGCACTGAACACCTAGTTTCTTCCATCATCCTTGTCATCACCAAATTTTAAACATGCAGTAACTTCTGCTCCAACACTGTAGTTCTTATCATGACATTGAAAAGTGCTTGTTGTCAAGTAAGAATAATGAAATGACATCAGGCCAAGTCTGTCCTCATTTTTCCCTTTAGAAATCTGAAGTCAGTAACATGAAAAAAGTAGCCGTCCACATAATGGAGAAAAGGGAACACACAGATTAGATATATATTCCAGGCTGAAAAGGATTTCTTGGATAATAATTTAATAAGGTACAAGAACCTGAAACTTGACAAAAATACAACATGAATTTCTCCTTTATTTTAATTTTCTTCTGAAAATTATTTAGTAGTACTCACTTTCAGTTTCTCATCTTGCAAAACTTGGTATTACTAAATATATAGATAACCAAGTTCATTCACAAATGACCTTCTAAAAGCTTTTTTACTTTGAGCACAGTAACTACAGCTGCCATCAGCCAACCTGTTTCCTGACCCGTCACCTCGGGGTCATGCAGCCCATGACCCCCTCCCAGCTTCACTTCTCTCTGCTCTCTGTTTTCACTGTATTCTTTGGTCCTAATGAACTTTTTTCAGCTCCTCCATTGCATATGATTCACTGTCAGGTCCACACCTCCTTCGCTTTTACTATTCGCTGTGTCTGCATTGCATTCTCTCCCTTCTCACCCCCTCAGGCACCCAGGAGATCTGAAGCTTTCTTTACAAATATCTCTCTGACCCCCATATCTGATTTCTGTTCCTCTGTGAGGTGCTCACACAAGTGCCAGAACTTATTCCAATCTTAGCACGTTTCACTGTATGCTGCTACTTTTGTGTTCCTCATTCCCTCTACCCCAGATGATAAACTAATTTCACTAGAGAAATGTGCAAACATAGCAGGCAGTTTAGTTTCCCCATACTATCTTATCCTGCCTCACAATACATACATATTTCCAAATTTTCCAAATATTTTAACCATTGCTCTCAGGTTAATACCCAAAATGTTCAGCATTGTCTGCTAGGCTCTACCTGAGCGGGACTTTTCCTGTTGTCACCTGCAACTCCTCCCTTCGCTCCTGTGTGTCACCCACGCTTGCCTTCTCTCAGTGTTTTCAAGAGCTCATGCTACTCTCCATCTTCAGGAAGCTTCTCTCCACCTTCTCACAAACACTGTTCCCCTACGAAGAACGCGGTCTACTCCTCGCCTCTCCACCTCACCTGGGAAAGTCTGATGCACCCCTCAGATTCTGAACTCGACGTAGGTAAACGCCATGCATGTGTACAATGCTCAGGCCCGGCTAGGTCTTCCTAATGTCAGAGTGCAGTGAACATTTCATTTGTAGCACATCTCATAGCCTTAGCTCAACTATTATTTAGGTAAGAATATTTGTAATGTGTATTTCCCAACTAGACTGTAAGTTCCAAGGATGGTGACTATGGCTGTCTTTCTCAAGGAACACTTGCTGTGAATCTCTCTGGGCTGGTTTTAGCATGTGTAGGAACAGAGAATAATTGAGTTAGGAAAAGATGCAAGCGTTAGGAAACAATGCAAAACGGGATGCAGGACCACATTATTAAAGACCTTAATTACCATGACAAAGAATTTATATTTTATTCCAGAGACAGTGAAGATTCATCAAATGTGTATAAACTGAAATAATCTAATCTGTTTAAAAGACTAAATCTGGCTGCAGGTTATATGGCTGATATGGTAGAGACTGGAAACCAAGAGACTATTTATAATAGATTATAAAAAATGACTACACATATCTCCAACCCCTGCATGTCCCCTTGGCAGTGTGACTCTGCTATTCTTCCTATCCCAAGCCTTTAAATTTCAGTTTGACCATGTGAAATCTATAGAATTTACTTTGCAGGGTCTGAAGTTTACAGAGAGGTCATTCAAATAAATTGCCAAGATAATTGTTGCCTTTCCTCGAAATATCCTTTTTTTTTTTTTTTTTAGGAACCTGCTTTAAACATGGCCATGTCATTTCCATCTAAATCTCATTCCTTAGAGCAAGTTCCTTGCAGATGATAAGATTTGATGATTGTTTTATTTGCCTTTATTGTCAAAAGGTTTCAGTAACATTAAAATTAGGTGACTATGAAATTGAATCTAGCCCTGGTTTTTGTCATACCTGTTCATGAGTCTCTCACCAAAGTGCTGACATCAGTCAAGCTCTAACACCCGATTCTCATACACACAGAACTTTGGGCATTTTCCTTAAAATACACATATGCTCCCTCACACCTATATACGCAGTAAGTCTCTGAAGGAAATCACTGCCCTAAAATGCTTGTGCATTTCTTTTCAATGGAGTATATAGAACACCTTTGGCCCACACATTACAGGATTAATCTTTAAAAGGATAATCTTCTGTAAGCAGGTGCAAACCCTTGCCTGCCCTCAGGGAAGGCCAATAGAAGGTTACTCTGGAGAAGGTGATGTGTGTTAACCTCTCTTGCAGACGTAATTGGGGACGATGCTTTTCAGAGTATGAAACATGTATTGAACTTCATTTTCTCACATGCCTAATTTTAGTCATAAGCCACCTCTGATACTTTATAAACTCATTGCTTAGGACAGTTTTGAAAGAGTTATGCACACTCATTAGACTAGAGAATTTCTTTTAAGCATTGGCGTCTGTGCCCAGTGGTATTTTCCAGTGATAATCCCCTACCTTTCCTGAGCAATCACTTCCTTCCATATCCTGGTCCTTATGGAAATAGACCGAGTGCAGTAACAGTAGCCAGCAGCAGCTCAATTTATACAAGGGTGGGCTAAACTAGGTTTAGAGGTGTGAGTACATGAAACACAGAATTCATTCTTGTATTGTTATTATTAATTATTGTATTATAATCCATACGAACAACTGTAAACCTACTTTTGCCCATCCCTGTATTTCCTTCTCAGGCATAGATTCCTATGAAAATCAAATCCAAAGGAATGGAAACCTTGATATATACACTATCAAATTTGTTACTATTTGCCTTTTTGGAGAGTGTACAAACTTCATTTTCATATCTGTTCACCTTATTTCAAAGATAACATATATCTGAAACAAGTATTTGGATAACCAGGTGTGTTCACGTTGACATCATGAATTTCTGCCTAGTTCATAATCTACAGGGCTCTGTAGATGCTGCTAAATACTTATGACCATTCAGGGAAGCCCTGCCCTGGTCAGGTGAAAACTCATTACCCATCACGTGGTCTAATTCTATGAAGTGATAGGTAGGACAGGACAAACGTGTGTGAGTTTCTACCAGGGCACTGTGGGAAATGCATAAACCTAGCTACACATTTTGGGCAGGTATTATTTCACGCTACAGCTCATTTCCATTCCTTCTTCCTCCCCTACAAAGTTCACTTTTTGAGTGCAAGAATGTAATAGTAACCACGTTGTGAAAAACATAATTTGGTAAAGAAGGGTCATGACACCTCAGCAGACCAGTGGTCTCTCTGCTGCTGGCAGGAAGAAAGCAACTTAGACAGAAGCCAGCTGTGTCGTTTGAAGTGCTGGATGTAACCCAAAGGTGGTGAGCTGTGAGCACTCAGTAATAGCGCAGGAAAATGACTAGATTAGAACTTTTTCCTCTTTGTTTCTATTTTCAGAATGTCCCAACCCTTTGAGTAAGCAGTGCGTTTTTGGCACATGAACCTTGGGACTTTTCCACTTGTTCAGGTCATGGTAATACAGTTGCATTGGGATGGGGTGGACTTATGCAATCATAGGATGTTTCCAACCTGGCTTTGAGTAATGTCTCTACTATACAGGGAGCAGTAGTCAGTGAGCCACACTTTCCTCATCTATTAAAATGAAATAATAACTGATTATTATTAAAATAATGTATATAAAGTTCTTGGCAAAGAGTTGGGGCTCAAGAGATAGTAGCTATGATTATTTATTTTTTCATTATACACATAATTCCAAGCCACTTTACTTTTCAAAGTTGAAAATGAAATTATATAAAAATGATTACATACCCACAATAGATGCCTTGATATAGTCAATTGTATCCACATTTTGATTGAGAAATAAGTCGTTTTGTTTTCTATTGAAGATTTAGTTTGTACTTGATTATTAATTTACCACATTATTCAGTAGTCTTTTATTGTCATCTACTGATATTTCAAAGTTAGTGTTTTACAAATCAATTACGTACTATCAGCATAAATAGTAGTACTAATATATATAGTACATTTCTTCTAGGGACCTGCTAAAATGCTTGAAGGCACTGCTTCTCCAATCATGTAGGAAAGGCCCTGGAAGGCATTGTTCCTGTCATCGAGTCAGTTTATTGAAAACTAAAACATGCAGTTTGTTGCCCTCAAGAAAAATGAGAAGCTTGAGTTTTCCAGGAAATTACCTTGAACTAAATTGTTTCAATATTGGCTGTATCCAGTCAAAAGCACTAATTTTGGATTTTAAACTTCAGGGGCTATTTAATTCACTTAATCCAAATGCAGTGAATACCTAACATGTGCATGAGGTTTGAAGATTTAAAATGATGACCACCACGACCCACCCCCAAGGCCCGGTTCTGCCTTCTGAGTCCTGGTGTCTAGTGGAGGGAGCGAGAGCACCGCTCAGGTTCCACGGCGGAGGTGGCTGTCAAGCTCTCGGAAACACAGATAGTGGAGCTTTTCATTCCATGGTCGAGGGGTGAGTTTTTGAGAAAAATTATAGACAAGTGACATTTTATTGGCCTTTAAAGACTAGTACAGAGTTTCTTACTTGGATAGGATAGATGAGTATTCCAGGTAGAAAGGGTAGCGAGAGCAAAGGAAGGAAGGACTGAGCATTCATAGCTGTTTACGGAGTGGCTGTGGACGTCGCGTAGGGTTTTACAGCATAGGATTGGACAGAAGGATGGCCAGGGCATGCTTCATGTAGAGAGTCTTTCTGGAAAACTAAAATATTACCTTCCAGATCACAGTGTTATTATCTTTTCTTTGTTACATACCGTGAGAAGGCTTGTGATAGCACTAGCTGGATTTCGTGTGTGTGTGCGTGATGCCTTTAAACTTATTTGGACTTTTCTTCAAGTAAAAGAATATTATTCTTTTGCTTTTCCTATGATTTAAAAAATTACTGCAATGTGCTACTGTACTTCAAATAAGGTGAATATAAATTTTATAAGCCGTATTTCAAGAAGCCAGTATAAATTGTACAAAAATAATATTTAAGATCTAGAAATCATATGCTGATTTTGATTCAGGTAGAGAAGCATATACGAGAAAACCTGTAAAAGGCTAACATCTAAATAGCATGTGATAAATAATATCAGAGTGTGCATTAAAGATGTATTCTCTAGGCTAACTTTGTAAAAGCTGTCTGGGAAAACCTGATTGTCCGCACTCACATGGTGAAGCATTAAACCAGAAGGCTGATGCATGGAGTCTAGCTGTTCACCCATAATATTTGGGTGTGAAAAATTCTTAAATAAAACTTGCTGGAAGTTCTCTGCCATTTTCTTTTAGTATAGTCACTGGATAAAGCACCCATCACACCTTAGAACAGGACTGTATGTATAGGCTCAGTAATTCAAATATGTTTAATGATTTTTATTAAATGTGCACTGGAATGTATTATCCACACATACATGATACTATTATTATAACAGGAATATTCCAATTTAACAAATAGTATGTGCTGAACTGTCTATATCCTATCTTTCCTTTGTGACCAATATCAAGTATTTTAGAAGTAGCTAACTGGAATTACAGGTAGTTGAGTCCATCATGAGGTATAGATTTCCATCTGTAAAACAAACTGAGCTGCATGGAGGTTCAACCTCAGTTTGGGTCTTTTTGTGTTCTTTCTATCCACATTAGCTATCACACACAGAAGAGAGTGTGTGTGTGTGTGTGTGTGTGTGTATTTTAGCCTACTTTATTCTAAAACTAACTTGAGGTTGTTTGAGTTATGTGTGTAAAGCAGAAAATTCTACTATATTCTGTTAAGTTAATTAAACAAGGAGGCCAGTAGACCGGGGTGGCTCTAATGCCATGGCAGCCCGTAGAAGCAAAGCACAATCTAAGCCTGTAAATGCATCAACGTAATGAAATCAAAACCTAGAGACCGCCAGCCACAGCCAGCCAACCAGGCTGTAAGCCGGACCTATCAATGATTTCCTGGCTTTGCTTCCCCCTTTTCTCTGTAAAAGTCTCTGCCCAATCACTTCGTAAGTTACAAAAATGTCTAATTACTATGTTGCACACTTGAAACGAATTTCATGTTGTATGTCTACTGTAATTGAAAACATTTTTAAAAATTTTTAAGCAAACACAAAGTCTCTCCCTGAGTTGCTGTCAGTGGAGCTCACCGCTCCTGCTCGGGCGCTGCCCAGTCGCAATGAATAAATGCTCAAGTAAACTCTTAACATTTTTAAATGCCTCAGTTTATCTTTTAACAGTTCAGTATGTTTAAAAGTATAAACTTCTCAGCAAAATGTAAAAGAGTGCCTCGGTTTCCTCCGTCAGCCGTGAAGAGGAAGGCCGGCTTCATCACCCCAGTCCCCGGGGGTGTGGGGCCCGTGACGGTGGCCATGCTCCTGAAGAACACGCTCCTGGCAGCTAAGAAAGTCATTTACTGATCCCGCGGAAGAACAGAGCCAGCTGAAATCACGCTACTTATTTATCTGTCAAAGGGGAAAGGTCCTCTATATTTTACTACAAAGCTATTTATTTCTACATTGTATTTATTTTTTCATGGATGGACTCATTGTGGATCAGAGAATTCACACAACTTTATGTATTTCCTTGCTAACAGATTTTCAGTTTTAGGGGGGAAAAACAAAACAGTTCCAATGAAAACTTTGGTAACAGCTATTTTGTGAATAATATTTGTTCATAATGTTAAATCAATAAAGGGCTCATAATAAGTAATATATTTTGACACGATTAAATATCACACGCCATGTATTTTCAACAAATGTTTTGTCAGTGAAATGGTCACCCATGTAAAATGTAATTTAGGTTTTGCCATAACATGTTCAATTTTTATATACTTTATGTTCTATATCATATGCTGAGAAAGAACTAAATTGCTGAAAGATAAAATATAAAAAATAAAATCTTGATCCCATGTATCTCCTAAGTACATCCTGTGAGGCATCCTAATAAGAAATTATGTTCCACTCAAGGAAAGAAAAATATACAAGGAAAACAAAAAATGCAGTGCTTCTTGGAAAGGTAATGATTTTTTTAAATTGTAAATGACTATTTGTCATAGTAAAAATGTAATAAGAATGTGTTAGGTTTACATGTAATTCCTTTGTTCTTCTAGAAAAATATGTGGGCAGTGTCGTCTTTGAGGAATAATGGAAAATCCAAAAGCAAACCAGTGCACAAAACAAAACTAAGGTGGCCTTTTCCCAGAAACAACAGAAAAACATGACATACTGTGAGCGAGGCCTTCATTAAAGAGCAACTATTATGTTGTTTTCACGAATTCAGAAACCTATTGGGAAAACACACTCACAGTGCGCCACTGCTAAACACTAGGGTGTGACTAAACATCTACTGTTTTATTGCCCGTAGTCTTCCCTCCTCTCGTTAGCGTTTGATTCTCAAAGTAGATGCCTTGTTTCTAACACAATTTAAATTAGGAAATACATGTGACTCTCAGTTAAAGGGTATCTTGAAACCTCTAGCCACATAATTGTATTTTCATACCCAAATCCCAGTATATTTATGTATCAATAGTGATTCTTACCCAGTGCATGTTTTCAATGGTGTGTATACTTATCATGTATGTGAGCATAGACTAGACGTTTATGATTAATAGCATTTCAACTGCATAATAAAAAAAAATTGAATAAGAACACCTGTCTTCTTTTCTTCCTTAAGCTATCTATAAGTTTCTTTGTTCATAAATTTGTCATTTATTTCTTTACAGCATGCTGGGAAATGCACACGTTTTTTGAACATGAAAGTAAAGGCTCTGTAGCCCATTCCATAGTCAGTCTAGACCATCTTTGTCTGATAATAACCCTGACAGAGTTTAAATTCAAAGCTCCCAGGCAAACATTTCAGAAATGGGCCTTTTTCATTTTTAAGGGCTACAAATTCCCAAAACAAACAAAACAACCCAGAATACATGTACACCGAAAAGGTGAGTCTGTCATTTTGAGCACACCCTGCTTCACCCAAAGTGCAGGAGAGGTTATTTTTAAAGGTTTTTGTCCCTTGGAAGAGGCTAAAATTCAGGAGTCAGCCTTTCCAGAACCTAATTAAAATGCAGTAAAAGAAAAATTATTTGGATGTTTGTTGAAAATGGTAAGAAAGACTATATTCAAGACTAGCAATAGAGGAGATTGAACTCAACTCCCAATACAATAAAGACAGCTGGAGATTTATAGCTGATGAGCAGAGTGGATGGAAAATTGCTAAGAGGAGCTTGATTAGTAGCAAGGGTAGGGGTAAGAATAGCTCACCACTATTCTTGCTAAAAGGCAGGCCAATGACATGATATCAAGAGTGGGGGGTGAGAAACTTGATCAGATGGGGGGGAGGTGTACATATACGGACTTAGCCAGATTCTTCTCTAAAGCTGGGCTGAGCAGGCCAAGTGAAGCCCTAGTCAAGGAGATGACCCACAGGAGCCTGATTCAAGTGTGGTCAAGGAGCAAGCCTTTGTCAAAGGAGATAAAGTTGGTTGGTTTGTTACCATGACTTTATTTATGAATATTTGGAGTCTATAAAAGATAGACATACGATGACTTTGTGCAGGAACTTTGGAAAAGTAAATTTCCTTCCCCTACACATATCTGTAAAAAGAACCCTACAGAATTAATTGAGATTGAACAATAATACAAAAAAATGGGGGCAAGAATGAACTTAGCATACACACACACACACACACACACGGGGTACAGTCATACTAAAATGAAAAGTGTGTGTTGGAGAGTGGTGGAAATACAACTGGAAAGTATGCAGAAATAGATTAGGGAAAGCTAAAATCAATTAAAATTTAGACTATATTGAGTAAGTTATGAGAATTGAAATTAGAGCCTCGAGGATGTTTTCATTGATTAACATGGGAAAGTTGTAAGGGGGAGATGATTTTGGAGAAGAGATAAAATGTTTAGTTTAAGATATATTGAGTTTGAGGTGATGACATAATATGTAAATAAAAGTCCTGATATACTATCAGTCTAGGAAGAGAATGAGAATTCATGGCTAATGATGAAAGCTTAGGACCCATCAGAATGTATTTACCACTAAATTCCTGGCCTTTCTGAGTGTTTTCTCTTTAATGTTTTGGGGGAGTGGGTAATCACGTAAGCAGCCCTGATGTAAGGTTCTCCCTTGGACATAATTGACTCTAAACTGTTTCTATTTTTTTTAAAAAAATACATCTCCATTGATCTCAGAGAGAGGAAGGGAGAGGGAGAGAGAGACGGAAACATCAGTGATGAGAGAGTCGCCTACCGGCTGCCTCCTGCACGCCCCCGACTAGGGACCGAGATCGCAGCCTGAGGATGTGCCCTGACCGGGCATCGAACCCCCATCCTCCGGGTCACAGGTCGACACTCAGCGCCTGAGCCCCTGGTCTTTCTTATTGACCGTTATACACACCCTGCTTCTTTCTACACCTGTTCAATAGCAACCGTTATCCTTAATTAAGGGCCTATCATATACTAAATGCTTTATTTTCTTTTTGTTATTGATAATCCCCATTTGATATATGAGAAAATTGACTTTTGGGGTTCGTACAGTCTCAGACAAGGCCAAATGGATAAAGAAGGCAGCACTGGAATCCAGAACAAGTCTGTTGGGATGGTGTGAACAGGAACCCGCTCTCTTTTCACTACACCATTCTGCCTGCTCCTCCCCCCACCGACTCCTTTCTCTTATCTCTATATGTCTAAATTCTACTTGTTATTTAAGGTTCACTTCAAATGAACCTTATCCATGAAAACCGCTGTGAGAGTTTAAGCCCCACCCCTGAACTCTAATAGTCCCTGCACACGTTCGTGGAGTCGTCAGTGCCCCCAGAACTGTAGTTAGGCATGCATGTTCCTTGTCTCCCTTTAGTCTTTTGAGGTCAGAGTCCACATATGATTTGTCTATTTGTCCTGCACACATCCCAACACCCATCCCAGCCCCATGAATGTTGTAGGCACTTTATGAATGAAAAATGAGTGAATGACAGCTGAATCCATAAGAAGTACAGAATAAGTTTAGAGAGATTTAAGCAAAGGGCTAATGACCATTTCCTGCCAATATCCAGCATCAAATTTTGGTTGAGTTAGTGAAAGAGAAAGAAAAAGAAAAAAAGGAAAGAAAATAAATGAAGAGAAATGGGAAGTAAAAGAAAGGGGAAAGGAGAGGAAAGAGAGGGAAGGGGGTGGAGACACAGAGATACTTAACTAGAGGAGAAAGGTGATTAAACTCAAAAGACAGAAAGTGGTAGGAGGGAAAATGACAGTGGAGTGCCACAGCTCTCAGCCCTTTCTCCCTCCAACCTGCTCCAACACGTGTCAAGAATGAATGAAGGTATGAATGAGGCCACCTGACAGCACCCATCTCACCCATTCTTCAGGACTGGGGAAAGGGCTTCCTGACGAGAGGATTGGAGAAATGAAGGCAGGAGTCTCTCCTACAGAGAATGTAAGTGGAACCCATCAGTATGAGTCCCAGAGGAAAAGAGACACGTGGGGGATGGAGAGCTATTTTCTAGTATAAACCTTAAGCTGAAGTGGTAGGTGAGTCTCTGTAATATGTGGCCCAACTCACGAGAACAGGGAAACATCTGGAGAGGCTTCTCTAAGCCCAAATGTGTGTGAAAGCCACAGCTCATTTCCTATTTAGATTCTAATAATAAAGGTGATTTATTTAAAGCTTGACTTTAGGAGATAATTAAGAGAATTCCTCTGAGAATTGCATACCAACTCCTGCCAGAGGGCACAGCTGGGAAGTGGGAAGTGCCTGTGTCTGAAATCCCAACACGGCCTCAAGTTCTCACTCTGGGGCATGTTCCTTGGCAAGTCACTGAATTCTTTTGAGCCTTCATTCCTCCCTTGTCATATGAGAGCAAAAACAAGGCCTGTTGTTAATTTCTTTATTCACTTAAGACAGATTCACTAGCATATACTGTGCGATAGATGCTGGAATTGTTGGGGCCAGGATTACTAAAGAAAGAACTGAGACGTGCATGAAAGCCTTCTGCATAATGCAAAGCGTTGTAACCAGTTAACAGTTACCACGATGGTGGTCGTACTTCATGCCCCAGGCTTAGAGTCAAGATATATGACATTAGTCCCAGCTTCTTCCCCTAAGAACTACAATGGGTTATGATGGTTTATTGAATCACTTGTGAATGATTCCTCCTTAATTCCCACCAGCGGTGCAGAAGATGATGATCTGACTTATAATTCAAATATTACTTGCCTGGGAGAAATATCATCCAGAAATTATCTTAATAAATAGTTTAAAAAACTCCACAGAAGTAGGAAACAAAATGTAGGCACATTTAAAGTGAGCCAAGTACTATATATTCTTTTAACTTTAAAAGGATGACGCCTGTGGTAAGTGATTGCCCAAGTTATAATGAGTCCAACAAGCTCATTCTTGTGTGCTCTCTAAAGCCAAGCTCATGTCGGAATAGTCATAGGGATCCTTTCTGGTAAATTGAATTTGCTGGGTGGACACGATGCAAACGATAACCTATCTTGACTTAAGTAGCTTTTTAAGGTACAGAAAACGAGCAATTGAAATCCCCGAGAGAAAGTCACTGTACCTCTGCAGAAAATATTTATAAGTTATACATAACAATTTGGGGCAAGTGAAAATGTATGGGAAACTCCTTATAGTCACAAAATGTAATAACAATAGTGATATGTTTTGGCCTTTTACAGGACACTTTAATAAACTAACTAGATTAGCAGGGAGAAACATTCGAAGGTTGTGTTAAATTTAAAACTTTCTACTCACTGGATGTACCAAACATAAATATTTTGATTTTATCTCAATGGAAATATTACTATTATTATTGTTGTTACTGTTGTTATTATGTCCCGGTCTTCTTCTCGCCTACTCTTTGGGGCACAGATTTAAGCACTGTACTTCCCAGAACTTAGTAGCCCATTTCACTTATTCAGGAAAATACTAAATGACAGAATGATACAAGGGCAAATGTTATACAGCTAAAAAGAATTATTTGTATGCAACTTGTAATAATAAAACTGGGTAGCAAAAACTAAAACGGAATATTAAACCTCTGCTTCAACACAAGGGGAATTGTGGTCCCTGCGCTAAGTTATGAACTGTCTCGATTGGCTCGGAAACCCAGCCGGCACCGAAGGCAGGTCGGGACCGTCCCATTCGCGGGCCGCGCTGTCTCCCAGCGGGCAAACACTATCACAGCTCCCCTGCAGGGGCCTGGCCGGGCTGCTAGGAGCTTGGGAGCTGGTGCAATTATCTTTCCGCCAGTGGGGCATTCCTGACTTTAGCGTCTTTTTTGCTGCTGTTGTTTTAAGTGCTTTTACCTTCCCGGTTATGCCCACAGGTAATAGGAAATAAGCGTTTCAAAGGAAAACTTGATCACGCTGCGAGATAGCGCGCATCCTGCCCGGGGTGTGAGCGCCCGAGGCTTTCTGGTGCTGCCAGAAGTACATATTTTTTTGATTGGTAACTGCCAGGTGACGCTTCATCAAATATAAATTCCAGCAAGACAGGGAGCGCTCCACAAAGCCGCCGGCCGGCAGCGGGAGTGAGACAGGCAGGCTGACAAGGACGGGCGATGGCTTTCGGAGTTTCCATGTCAGCCTATCTCCTGTTCAATGGTAGGTAGCCCCTTTCTGTTCTGTTAACTTGCTGTCAGTGTAAAACCTGAATAGGATTTGTTCTCTCTGAATCAGTGAGAAGTTGGCTCTGACGGTTGCTCTTCATGACAAAGATTAGAGTAAGGAACCTGTGAATTAATTTAGTTTCTTATCCAATGTATGTTCCTCTTCTGATACATTTTGACACCTCTTTTTTTGAAACCTTTAAAATGTTTGCTTTCTAAAACTGGTGTCATTAATACATTTTAACTTCTATATGACAGCATCCTTGTGATCGAATCAGTATATAAATGTATTCGCTTTCTCTTAAATATTAATGTCTATTTTCTATAATTATAATGTAGTCAGTGGACTGGGTATGGATGAGAAACTGTCAGCAAATCGCCCTCATCAGGTTATGGATCTCAAATATAAATGAATTCAAAATAAAACACAGGTGGGAATAAATAGAAAAACTTTCAGCCTGTTGCTTGCACATAGAAGGAGGCTCACCTGCTAAAGACGCCTTTCCCCCCACAGCAATGGCGGCCTTAACTGAAGAGGTGGCCTTGAATGTGACACCCGCAGTCACAACCCAGCAAAGCAACTGGACAGTTAACAAAACAAAAGGTATTTGCTTCGTAATTTTGTATTTCAAGGGACTTCTTAACTTTTGAGAGCAATTTGGGTTTTGGTAAGAGCAACGTCGGGATAACCAACTCTTCCAGCACGGTGCCGTCAAATGGCCGCGACAGGTAAACGTGTCCGCTTTGTAAAAGGAAGAAGTGAGGCCGATGAAAGAAACGTCTCCGTTACTGTCCTGGGTGTTAAACAGGCCACGTTTTCTGCCTTATTCCTGCTTGGTGCCCGTATCTCACCGTGTCTAGAGGCAGTTTGTCATCCTTTGGAGATTATATTTTCATCTGCTACTAACAACTTTGCAGCCAAAGAAATTATGGCTACAAGATGAAGCCTGAATTCATGTCCCCTCGTCTTTGGAAGTATTTTTTCCTTGTTTCTTTTAGGGGGCTTTTGTTGTTTTAGCACAGGCTATATTTCCTAACTACCTAATTTTGTCTTTCCTATTGTATTACTATTATCGGAATAGCTTCCCAGTGCTGTTGAGCATCAGCACAGTTTCACACCTGTCTGAACTCTTGGAGGTGAACTTGGAAAGCTTGTCGCCTGCCAAGGCCTGTGCACTGGGTGGTTATGATTTCCTCGCAAATCACACGCCGCGCCCTGACGTGGGGATGGGTGACGCGACACGGGCCGGGGCAATACCGCGTCTCACTCTCAGAGCCAGGCAGGTAAACGCAGATCAAGTCAAACATTTCGTTTCTGAATATGAAAGAGAGTGATAATTAAGAATCTTCATTTCACTAATAATTTTAAATTCTAAAAAATGTATTTGAAATAAAGTTTCCCGTTTCAGTTTTTTAAAACTTACCTTTATTGTTCAAAGTATTGCAGGCGTCCCCTTCCCCCCACACTGACCTGCTCCGCCCGCTCCACCCTGCTCCTGCCCATCTGAGGTTTTGCAGATCTGTCAATTTGCAAACCAAAATCAGTGTACCGTTTAAAATAACTTTTATGTCTTCATGTCTTCTGAGCTTTTGAACATAAAGGAAAAGAAATATGTTTTCTAGAAGATAATACTGCAGACAATTAAAGTGTGGCTCCTCTCAGTGAGTGAGTTCAGGACAGGGAACTGCAAGTAAATTCTCCACGTTACAGGTAATGATAGTGGCAAAATGTGACTGGGTGGATCATCTCTAGCGTGTTCCCTGCCTTTCTTCACGGGGAGCTTCAGTTTTTCCTTCCTTGCTTTTTATTTAACTTAAAAACCTGAATCTGGTATTTTAGGAAATTTAAAAATGTTATATACAGCAAATATTCTTCCACTTGAAGGAAAGCTTACTCTCTCTAGCGCACCCTTTCTTTGGAAATGTCTTCTTTCGGTTCTCACACTTTCTGGCAAATCTTGATTCAGGCTCTAGTCCTGAAGTAGGAAGACCCTAGCCCAGCTTACAGTGCAAATTGAATGAATTACTAAAATGAGAAATCAGACTCGCGACACCACATTCAACAAAATGAATGTGAATTTTAAGGTAATATTGTATGTTCTCAACCAAAAGGAAGTTATATAACAGAGGATCTCGTTGGTGTCTTAGTACTGAAGCATTTAGTGTTTTCAATATAAAAAAGTCCTCCTTTTTAGATCTGAACAAGTAAATAGGAGTGTCTCAATCTGTGTAGCAAGACCAGTATGTTGTAACATAACTAAGGATGAGATATTCACGATATATTTATTCATAACAATAACAAAATAAAACGCCACTAAATCTACTTGAGAAAAGCGTAAGAAGCAGCAATTAAAGTGTACCAAAGAGGCCCGATTATACAGTTTTACTGCTGGCATCCCCACGTCATCACCCCCAGGGGTTATGTAGGCGTATGTCCCTAGCACACCAGGGAACGAAGAGTCCGCATCCTGAAAATACACGTTTTCCCACAACGCAGCTTCCCAAAGGGAAGCTCCTCATAAAGAGGCTTCTGGACACTTGACCACAAAAGTCCTGTCAAGTGTGGTCACTTGTTTAGCATAAGAGCGAGGAATCAAAACTCAGGTTTTTAATTTCCAGCTCCAAGGCTTTTCCCACTATTTCATAATGTCTCTTACGTGACTACAATTTCTAAATGATATTTGAAAGTATTGTCTGAACTGTGCTAAGCCTGAGCCATAGCTGCTCCTGGCGTCTCGCGCAGGCCGTAACCGCACGCCTCCTGCCTTCCGGTAGGGAAAACGCTCCCTTTCGATGAGCTGCTCAGGGTCGTCCACAGAAGAGGGGGTTCGCACCTCACTCTCCTCTGGTCATCTCACCATCAGAAACCCAAGTGGTCCTAAGTGCTGACTTCTGAGGTATAAAGGGAGAGTGAAAAAACTGTGTGAGATCTTTTATACCTATTAGCATTCAGACCTACATCTGGGAAGCCATGCTCAAGATAGCTTGCTAAAACTAGATTTGCTGCTGCCACCTTTTGGCAAACTTGTATCTATACCTTATTATGTAGCTTTTAAAAAATGGAACAACGATCAGTTTACCTCCATCCCCTAATTAATCAGTGATATGTCTAGGTGATATTAACCTACCCTTTGAATATAACCTGCCAAGGGAACCAATCGATAACTCAATGGACAGAGTACCCAAAGAATATCCTTAAAACTAAAGGTCTTTTTAACATGTTACAAATCTACTATAAAAAGTGACCCATATCATCTGCTAATATTGTGTCTCTTCCTATCTGACTACACAGAAGGACCCATAGCCTTGAAGTTCTCACACCCTTGCTTGGAAAACCACAACAATTACTGCATCAACGGTGCTTGCACCTTCCACCATGAATTGGAGAAAGCCATCTGCAGGTAACTGCAAAGAACTTTCCAAGTCCTAGAGATGGGAGAAAGCAAATGTATGCCTCTGGTGTTTCACATGGTCCGTTCCCACACACCTCTATTTTACGGAACCGAAAGGGTGCATGACCTGACCGTGACTCACCAGTCCTCTTTGAGGTTGAATATCTAATGAGTCTCTTTCTAAGCTACCTAATCCTCACTGCTCAAAACCGCGGTTCCCAGACCAGCAGCATCTGTGCAACCTGGGAGCCTGTTAGGAACGCAGAAGCCTATGCTCCGCCTAAACCTGCTGAATCCCTATCAGCATTTTAACATCATGCAAATACGATCATAGGATGACATGAAATAGGTTATGGTTAAAACTCTTTGAGGATGTAGAGTTCTAGAGCAATTAAGATGCTGTTTTTATGATCACTGATTCGCTCAGCATCCTCCCAGTAATTTTCTAGATCAAGGCATGCAAGCCCTGTGCTAGCTCCCCCTTCACCAGTGAGGCAAGTTGCACTGATATGGGGCCTTAATGAAAGGATTATTGTAAAATGCAGAGCTTCTTCAATACCTGTAACAGATGGGCTTTCATTTGGTACCTGCCTCTTTAATTTAAATTGCATACTTTCCATTGAAATTGCTTCATTCTTTGTAACTGGTCTTTTCTTTGTATTTCTATCAGTGTGAATTTTAAAATTATTCATTCTTTTCTTTTCGTAAAGGTGTTTTACTGGTTATACTGGAGAAAGGTGTGAGCATTTGACCTTAACTTCATATGCTGTGAATTCTTATGAAAAATACATTGCAGTTGGGATTGGCGTTGGATTATTATTAAGTGGTTTTCTTGCTATTTTTTACTGCTACATAAGAAAGAGGTATGGAAAAACAAACAAACAAAAAACCCAAAATACGAAGTCACTGGGTACACGTTCATTTGAAAAATTTTTATTGAGTCCCTACAATGTACTGGGCGTTGACGTATATAATTTTTGGTGAAAATATGGCTGTAAATCTTGCAGGTTCCAACATATCTGTTTTGATGCCTTTTCTCATAAATCCAGACAAGCAGTAAAAATTTACCTGCAGCTGCAATAGGATAGCTTCAGTTTAGTTTCCCTCCACCCTGTCACTGTCTACATCGAAGTTATAATGAGGACAGTAGGCCCCACAAAGGCAGAGGTTAAGTGTGTCTTGTTCAGTTATATATTCAGTGCCAAACACTGTGCCTGGCACACAACAGATACTCAGTATATATTTGTCGAATGAAAAAATCAAGAAATGAGTATTAAATGAAAGAAAATATGTGACAAACAGGGGTCATTTACTTCCAAACAATCAACTGAGGGTATATTCAGGAGATATTATCTACGGCTAGAAGCTTAGAGAAGATAAGCTTGATCCACTAAGTATAAGTTACTTGTGTATTAATTCTTATTTCTGTGTATCCACACTGGTGATTTTTTCCTTAAAGCCATGTAGCTAGGGAAAATCAAGAAATAATGTGAGATAAATTAAAGAAAAAAGTATAAATACACTCCCTTGCTATACCCTATTAACTAAGTTGTCATTTTATAGACGACCAAGACTGACAAAATAAGAAAATTTTGGGTTGCTTAATTATTGCATCTTAGAGAGAATAAAATCTGTTATATAAAATATAGATCAATTGATATAAAATCTGTTAATCAACGGATATTATTACATCAATTGCCTAAGAAACCAAAAAGAAAAAAAAGGAGGAAGTAGACCTTTTAATGTTAATGAGACAGCTGTCTGAGGTCAGGTGCCCTAGAAGCAGAACACAAAATGGGGATTCTTGTGCAACTTATTGGTCAAGGGCCGCCCCACGGTGAGGCCTGTAATGAAGTAAGGAAAGCCAGGCAGAGGAAGGAGGTAAGCAAGATGTGGCATTAGCTGAAGTCCAGCCTCAGCCTGACTCCACAGGGCGATCTCCAACTAGGATGGCATTGCAGACCTATCCCAGAAGGTAAAGGGTCTTGGTGTTAGCACCCTGTGCCATCAAGCCTGGGTGTCAGGATGCTCCTGGCAGGATGGTGGCACAGGCCAGGAGTCTCCCAGGAATCTCTAGGCAAAGTTCTCCGTGGGCCCAGGGAACACTCTGGAAAAAGATGCTGCTGTGGTCCTGTTAACACCCACGGCCGCTGGGGTGGGTCTACCAGTGGGTGAAAGGGACCTGGGTGGGGCACCAGCAGCAACTGCTACACCAGAACATTGATATAATCCTCAATAAGCTATACAAACGGTAGTCGAATTCATATGGCAATCAATACTCTCTTTTAGGTGTCTAAAACTGAAATCACCTTACAACGTCTGCTCTGGAGGAAGACGACTGTGAGGCCTTTGTAAGAAAATTTCACAAGGCATTTGTAAAAATCGGTGGACCCAAAATTGAAATCTTCAAATGAATCAACAAAACTTCCCAAGCTCACTAGACTTGAACATTACGGAAGCTGGGATCCTGATGAAATGAGAGAATGCGTTCCAGCATTGGTCTTTGGACTTCGCCATTGTTAGGTACCGTGGGAGCCAATGGAACAAGCTTACAGTGACAGGAGTCACGTTCACAGCACTGCTCTGGGCCTGCTGCTGTCGTCGTGTGGTTGTCGTTCCTACCGCAGAGAGACTGAGCTCCACGCTTCTGACCACGTCAGATGTGAGCTTTCCTGAGCAAAAGGATCAGCCTTGCAGCAAGTCAGAGCGATGCCAAGCTTGGGTTCCTCCTGTGCTTGCTACCAGTATTTGCACCACTGCTCAAGAGACCTACTCCCAAACATGCTGCTTTCCCAGTGCCTAAAAGAGTGTGGTGTCAACTGTTAGGATGAGATCAGTGTCGTGGCACCTTCAGTGAACCAAACAGGTGCCTGGAGTCTAAGCCAGAGACAAGGAAATGGAATGTCCAAGGCAAACAACACCCTACCCAGCTTGTGGCGACACTGTGGCGCCTGTATGTGTGAAATGTGGAATAAGCTGAAGAGTTTCTGGTGACTGAAAGCTATCTGGATATCAGGCTCCGAGCAGGCAGAGCAGTTTTGCTTCTGCGTGGATTATAAAATGTTGTGCTGGACTCATGGGTCCCCCGAAGCTTATGGTCATCGCTTCCTCCTGTTGGTAGTGGAATTACCTGGTGACCATCCATTTAGACTGAAATTCTAGAGTTCTACTAATAAGTGAAATTCTGCAATTGACCTTGAAAGAGAAACTGAAGAATCGGACACAGGAATTTTTTCGTTAGCCAGCAGCATGTGGAAACTTTCTTAAGCATTCTGAGTACTTGATAGCAGATTTGCACACAGGGAGAGAAAATGCAACGAGGGTAGAAATAACTATTTGGGAATTAGGGTCCTTTCTCTTTAATCACAGGTATTCCATGTAATTAGAATAATCTTGGGCAGGACCACTGATATCTTTGGGCTTTGGTTTCATTTTCTACAGGGCCCTTCTGTCTCTAAAATTTGACAGTGGGAGAAGAAAGCAATTTTTCCCTATCTGTGCTGCAAGTGGGATATTCTCAAGCCCACCTCTAAATCCAAAACACACCACTGGCTGTCATCTTAGGTGTATACTTTAGTGTTTGTTTTGTAAAGTAACAATTTAAAAATGTGTATTTAAAGAAAGCAAAACATATAATTTAAAAATAAAATCTACAACTTTTATTTTAGATTCAATCTAAAACTCTGGACTTCTTTTCCACTGTGATGTTGAGAAGCAAAACAACTGTCATGAGATGGGCTGAAGGAGTACCAATCGTGAATATTCTTACAGTGGCTGCCCAGTAACCAGCCTTCCTCTTGTACTAAGCTATGACTTCGCATTCACTCTTAAACAAAACTTTACGCTCTGCTTTCCTCTGAGTAGAAGGTATTTCACTTGCTTTGTTTTGCCTCCAAAAGGAATTTAAGTTGGATGAATCGCGTGTCAGCACTTTCTCACTGTGCTCACAAAGTATGTAAAGATTACATCATACCAAGGAGTGGGGAGGCGAAGGTTCCTCCCAGTGACTCCAGGGACCACACCTAGAAAGCTGTGCTCTCCCTGAGCATTTCAAAAAGGTGTTAAGAAGCTGGGGAGAGGCCAGGAAGAAACAATAAAGCTTAATTAAGGAACTGCCGCCGATGAAAGAGGAATTAATGCTGGAGTCTGGAGAGGCGATAACATAACAAGTTATAAATATTTGCTGTCTATAAATATTTATAAATTGTAAACACAATATAATTGAAATTAAACAACGTCAGACAAAAATTTAAATTCCCAGATTGCCAAACTGAAAAGTACACCAAAGCAAAAAACAATAGAGATTCAATTTTTTTCACCTGTGGAGCAATATGCATTAACAGTATAAAATCCACCCAGTGAGGCTATAGAAATTTAGAGTGTGGTTCATGAGAATTCATCTGTTACGGTCTGTCATACACATGAATACACATGATCTTGTGATCCCCCCAACCCTGAGAGTTAAATTTGCAGGAAGGACTTAATCTCTGGCATTCCTATGAAGCTAGAGCACATCTACTGATATTTATGTATGTAAGCAGGACTTAAGTGAAAAAAAAAAATGCAGAAATACAAGATGTTCTGCACATTTTTTCACCTCATATTTTTTCCTATGTGCAACAAGACCCTGAAAGAAGTCTACCAGTGAAGCCCTTGCATTAGAACTACGTTTTCAACTATCAACCTATGGATCATAGGTGGGTGGGTCATTTAGGAAAGAAATGAAAACAAGTTTCTGGCATTTTTGACTAAATCAGACTGGCGAAGGGGTTCATCAATGTCTTTCATTCATATTTTGTGTTCTTCCCATGTCTATCCTTCAATTCTTTGAGAAAACATCCTAGGATATGAGTTCATGAGTTAGCATTTTGAAGCATGATGGTGTTATTGGTGGAAGTGGAGTTCTTGGAGTGCCACGAGGAAAAGAATTTCCTGAGGCCCCCACAAGAGGGTGGGGCTTTGTGGAAAGCTTTATTGATGACGTACAATTAAGGGGGTTCTCCAAGGTCCAATCCCTGTCTATCTTGCCTTGGAAGAAGTCCAGTCTTGTCGTCAGCAAGACCAGAATTAAGGCCACTGCCCAGAATTTCTGTTCCATAGTAAAGTCCAGTCCAGTCCAGCATCTGTCTAGTTTAGCCTATATTCCCAGATGCATTTCAGTGGGTGTGGGATCCATATGGCCATGGGCCATGTGTCTTCTTAAGGCCACATGGCTATGGAGAGAGAATAGGTGAGCACTCAGGTGAGTGGGGGTCATGGAGCAAGAGAGAGCAAGTGAGAACAAGAGAGAGAGAGAAAGCTTCTTTGTTCTGGGAATTTAATGAGGAGCTTAGATTTCAACTACTTCTGATGGGGTTCACTCCCTAGCCAATCCATTGTTCCCCGGGCTAGACTGACAGGCAAGGGCCTTCCCTACGTTATCCCTACTTCACTGCACATGCACCCATCTCCCCATTTGTTCCATCCCTTCCCCCAGTGATCTGCAAGGAATGGACTGGTGGTGGTGGTTCCCTGGGAGCATGAAGCTGTAGCTTTCTGGTGAGGCCACCCAGGTGACCATGCTTATAATGTCTGGTCTCACTTTTCCTCTCTTCCTATTATTAATATTAACTAGCTAATGACAATGGTAACAACGGGATTGCGAGCAAACACTATAATTTGTCATATTTGAGCCAGTAAATTTATACAAAGGGAATCATAGTTGCTTGTTATTGTATCTTCTTTCCCCAAATTATTTTTTTGTATAATTATGTTTTTATAACATTTGAAGTGAATAAAATTATAACATAGTTTATCTTTTAGTGTTTCCTAGAACAATACGAATCTAATCCTTTAATTCTGACATGTCCTTTTTGGTGACATCAAGAAGGTTTTTGTTCATTATATGTAATTGAAAATAAAAAGTCTTAAGACAATCACAAGGCAAACACCAGCAATTTAAGCTTTTGATGTTGAACATAAAAACAATTCCTTTCTGCCGAGGCTGTGAGTAAGCCATCTGACTTTTGTGAATTACAAAATATAAAACACTCTCTGTGCTGTAATGTAAATATTGATATCCTGCAGCTCACACTCATGGGGAGGGTTACCAGAATCGCTCTATTGCAAAATACCCACTCTTTCTGGCTTACATCACGGCTGCATGACTTCAGGACACTAGCATCTGCCAAGATGAACTGGAAGTGTTGAAATTTAATTTGTCAGAGTCTGGCACTGCTAATCTGGGTGAGTCTATGTTTCTGTCCAAATCTTTGGCACAGCCCCATGCAGTAGCACATTCAGAAGAATATCTCCCAAATTCAGCAATAAATTTCTGTTAATTATTCAATCAATGAATGTACAGCTCAGAGCAAAAGAGCCTAAGCAGCTAATTTCCTAAGAAATCAAATATTAGGCCATTTGAGAATATCTACCTGAATAAATGTGCTCCTTCATTATATTTCACTCTGCCAAAAATCAACATGATAGATGTTCCAGATCGTGGGCAACACCCACAGCTTCCAATGAGACATCTCATAAAGATTAGCAATGTTATTTTATGGTAACAGGGAGAAGTGAATTATTTAGTCAGAGCTTATCTATATACTTTATGTCCTTTCTTTGTAACTCTTATGTATCAGATATTATTGGAGCATAAATTGTTTAGATTGAAACTAGGTGAAGACCACAGTCAAGCAAGAATCAAACTCACCATGCTTTTGGTCTTTAAGAAGATATTAATTAGGCCCCCCAACTTTCTGGAAAGAACGGCATCTCTAGATCTTTAAAACCTCACAGAATATTAATTTAATATTAAGTCCTTTTGCAGATTCAGATGAAGCCAATGTGTAATATAGCTACCATTTATAAGCACTCACAATGTTTGAAAAGCATTACTAGCATTGTTTTAATGANAGCATAACTTGTTTAGATTGAAACTAGGTGAAGACCACAGTCAAGCAAGAATCAAACTCACCATGCTTTTGGTCTTTAAGAAGATATTAATTAGGCCCCCCAACTTTCTGGAAAGAACGGCATCTCTAGATCTTTAAAACCTCACAGAATATTAATTTAATATTAAGTCCTTTTGCAGATTCAGATGAAGCCAATGTGTAATATAGCTACCATTTATAAGCACTCACAATGTTTGAAAAGCATTACTAGCATTGTTTTAATGAACCCAAACCTGTGTATATTTGAGGCATAGAGAAGGACCTGAACCAGGTAGATCTGAAGCCAAAGTCTAAACTCTATATGATAATGCTTTGCAATATTTTATGGAAAATATTATTGTTGGGATTCCATTTCTTAATGAGCTTAGAGATATACCCAAGTGATTTGTATGCAAATGAAAAAAGTTTTTTTCTTTAAAATATATAAAATAATAACTTTTGTCCTGGATCAAGCATAAAAACTCGCTGCTGTCACCTGCAGATTATTAAGATATGCATGCCATCCTTAGGGTGGGGCCAGAACAGGCCTCGAGTGCCTGCTGACAGTTGACTGTTCAGGCTGGGAAAAGACTATAGACTGTAAATGAATCCCGATTTATCCTCAGGACTCAGGGTACAAGAAGGTCACTTGGGAACACTTGACCCCAGGGTTCTCTGGCCCTGATGCTGCTGTAACGGGGACATGCCTGGCTCAGTCTGGTGATGGGATGAGTGAGTGCTTTTCGCATCTACAGTAAAATCTCATCAACTGCCTTTTGGCTGTATCACCCTCAGTCTCACCCCTGGTCCCACATACACCTTAAAGAAAAACAGTCACTGGTGGTGATCCAGCTTGGGGCAAAAAGTGTAAGCAACATTAAAAAATCCATGCAGTGGACGGACACCTTAATGACCTGTGGTCTCGTCCAGCTGCAGGATTATTTAACTTTTCAGGGACCCTTTGGACATGATATTCTTGCCTGTTAAATGGAGAAATTAGACTCTAAAGATGAGCTCCACATTCCCTTCCTGGTTGGAAGTTATATGTTAAAAACTTGCAACCTAGAAGGCAGATCCAGCCCACAGACATCTTTATTTTGGTTTTCACTGTGTTTGTTTTAAATCAAGACCAACATCTAGAAATCAAGATGTTTTTCCGTAAAAATCGAGCTTTTCTAGCTTCTTTAGAAAACTAGAAATTTAGAGCAATGGCCCTGTATTCTTACACAGGTTTGGTTAGAAGGGGTGTGCCCTGGACACCGGACCCGTTTCTGCCACTATGCTACCTGGGCAGGGCTCCTAAGGGCCTTCAAGTCAGCAGGCTCAGTTCTTTGACTGGGTTTTGTTATTTAAGATCGTGCCTCATCTAAATTCCTGAGTCTAGTCATCACGATGCCTGCAGAGGGCCT